AGACTTGTGACTCAGCTTCTCAGGCACTCTGAACACCAGCTCCAACTGGAAAGACGTGGCAGCAAGAGCGGATGCAACCTTTGACTTTCTGAGTCTAAAGCCCTCACTCCTGAACTGTTTCTCGCAGTTTTCAAATCCCAATTTACTGCCCCTCCGGGAGGTCTCTGAAACGGTGGCACCCTAACACTCAAGACAGACTCTAATCTCCTTAAAAAAACATAGATCTGCAACGAAATCAGCTGTCAAACTAAAAATGAAGGTGTGCCCTGAAGAACCGAAATGCCTAAACCTATTCATTTTAGGCTATCGCAGGAAGAGGGCTGACCTAATTATAGTGCACAAGATTATTGATCAGCCAAGTCACGCAAACGAACTGGCCTTGCCTGCAACGCGTCGGTCATCACGAGGAAACGTCATTAGGATAGCGCAACAAAGAGCTAACGCCAGGCTCAGGCCTATATTTTGCTCATCAAGAGTGTGTGCTCTGTGGAATATCCTATCGCGGAATGTAGTCGTTGCCCCCTCGGTAGACTCATTCAAAAGACAGACTGTCATGTCATCTCGCAGGGTTAACCAGAGACGCACTCAAGAAGTTACTAACATCATTATCTAACCACCACTTACCCTCTACCTACAGCTCACTGTCTCTCTTTTTGATTCACCTGCATTGTCTCCTAGCTCTGTCCTAGCAACTATACCATGCTACCTACTCTTACCTCTCGGGTAATTCCCACATAATTTTTCTTACTGCCCTGCTATTCCCACTCAGGCACCTATTCATACAGGAGTCACGACAGACTCCCAACCTATCCTGCAACTTGTAGCTTCCCAATAATTCTACGTAGTGGAATTTACTGACGCAAAAATATTCACCTCACTGGGGCTAAAAGCAGGAAAACAGAAAAGATTTCCTTGTCCACTGCAGGAGTAATCTGAACAACACAAACGAAGGCCTGAGAACTAGATGCGAAAGATCAAAAACTACCCGTTTTCTACGCTTGAAGAAGCATTTGGAAAAACCACTTGAACCTGACGACAACTGCCACACGTGTGCTCTCACTGTTACCAAAGGTAATGCAGCCTTTGAGTGCGACAGCTACAACAGATGGGTGCACTGCCGACTTGACAAAGAAGTGCCACATCAGAACCATAGCTTTATGATGCACCACCCGTGCACGTGGTTTTGGCACATTTGTCCATAGTGCTGTCTGAGGCTGCACCTAGCCTCAGGCTTACTTAGAGTAACCGATAAATCTCCAGTAACCGAAAAGCGGGCATCCATCCAAACCATTATCACAGAGGATATTCACTGTCCAGAGGATTTCGGCAGTGGCTTACTGAAGGCCAAAAACCCGAGAGCTTCTAAGCCGAAAAAACACTGCCTACATCAACTGCAACCGCATCCACCTTAAGCCTTGGAGCCGCACAAGAGACAACAACCAGCGGACAACATAAGGAATGGGTCAGGGTAGAGAAAAAAGCTCGAAGCATCCACGAAATGCACCTATGGGATCGGATAATAGTGGCATCACTGACCGATCTAGCTCTGTCGTTCTGCTTAACTTTCCTGTCTGTGATGATAGCCTTCTGGAGCACAAGGACAAGTTTGGCAAGCAGCAGTGGAACTCCCCTTGTGCCATGCTAGGCCCGGGTGCTCTCGGGGCAAAATTGTGTCGACTGTACAAAGGCACCCACTCACCACAGGGAAGCCTCCGCAGACGAGGTGACCCTAGGCTCAACCAGAGACTGTGAAAAGTTCCTCTTACTGTCATACACCCTGGTCATCGACAGATAATCCAACATTAGAGCCAGACCTGACCGATCATGGGTGTCGAGAAAGACGTCTCGAGAAGCAGCTGGTCCACTAAAACCCACAACCATGGTCGTACATTGAATACCTGAAACAGCGACCGGTACCCCCTGTGATAAGTACGCCCATGGCGTCAAACAATGGGAGTGGCTATCGGGTCGGAAGGAGCTGAGTGGGGTTGCAGCTGTGGCAATGGGCAGACTGCCACTCCCCTCGCATCTGACAACCATGACCTCACCTAGACTAATGGCTGTCAACTTCGAACCCCCAGAAGTACTCACTAGGGTGCAAGAGAAGTGGTACAAAGTCAAGAGCACCACAAGCGGTAACGTTCGCTGCTGTGAAAGCAGGTCGAGAACACTGAGACAACAACAGACAGCAGTTACCCCATGTGCTCAGGTCACCGTAACCCTAAGCCGAAACTTTGAGGGTCAGATTTGCAACCTCCACCCTAACACCGGGTGCACCAGTCGACGCGGGAAAAAACTTAACTGGCCTAGTTCCATTGGAACTCATGGGAGCAACCTCGCCCTTACCCCTGTTACGACAAGGCAAACTACTAGGGCATAAAGAGCCTATCAAGAGCTCCGTGGCCAGTGGACTGGTGTTCTTTATCGGTCGACCAGCACTCGGAACTGGCAAAAGATATCATTAAGGCGGCCATCTCGCAAAACTTCCCTTTGGCAGCAACAACAACCAGAAAGCGAACCTCATGGCTGAAACGGGGCACTGGGAGCCCTCTAAAAGCCAAGAAGGGGGCGTGGCGCACTTGGAGACTCTCCAGAGAACAGGACGACCGTGACGTATACACGACTTAACGGAATCGAAGCAACGTCAGGGTGCCGGGGGGACAGGATGTCGTTTCAATCCAACCTCACCAAGAGGCTTTAGGTGAACCCTAAAAACATATACCGATTCATGGCAAAGAGAAAATCGACTAGCCGAGGAGAATACGTCATAATAGGTCCCAACGGCGAAACTTCTCTGGACAGGAGATCGCCGATATGTTGGGTGCCACGTTTGACACAGCTCAACATTCCATCAGGAAAGTGCTGATACCAACTACACGAACAACCCTCAGTGTTACCAGGTGCTGCTGAGTTACACGAAATACAGATAACTCGCGCTGTTGTTCTCGACAAGCTATCAAAGCCAAGCGCGGGAAAATCCCCAGGGTGTGACGACATCCGCCCGTCCGTATTGAAAGAATGTGCAAGTACCCCAAGTGGCACACTCTGTAATCGCTTCTAACACTCCTTGGATGAACGGAAGCTCTCATGAGAGCGGGAACGGGCTGTCCTTTCTCCCATCTTCATAGGAGGAGACAGACAGAATCCCAGCTGTTAAAAACCCATAGCACTTCTACCGGTAATATCAAAAGTGTGATGGACGACAGCATCAGGGAATATCCGGACAGAAAATAAGCACCCGGTGACGCGCAACATGGCTTCCGGAAGGGTGGGTCCTGTGCCTCCAACCTCCTGACGGCCCATGATCGCTTAACAGCATGGTGGGATCTCAAGGTCGCGGTTCACGCAGTTTTTCTGGGCTTCGCCGAAGCCTTTGACCCTGTCTCACACACCATCCTAATACATAAGATAGCTGGGTTAGGTATTCGCAGCCAGGTGCTATCGTGGCTGCAGAACTACTTAAACAATAGGGAGTTCTGTACGAAAGTCAACAGGGTCTACTGAACTTGGAGGGCATCCTCATCCAGCGTCTCACAAGGAGCGATCCTGGGTCCACTGTTGTTCCTACTGTTCATGAGTGACCTGCCGCAACACATCAGCTCTCCAATTCTCCTATACGCTGATGACGTCGAGTTATTTAGGGCAATAACTTGCGAAGCGGAATCTACGGCATTACAGAGCGACCTAAAGACACCGGAGGGATAGGGAACTAATAACGAACTGGCATTTAACTTGGATGAGTGCTGGTCTGTGTTTTTCAGCACTCCTGATCCCCAGAAAGTATCCTACTATCTCTGTGGTTCACGCCTATCCCATACCACAGTAGAAAAAGACCCGGGTTTAACGGCGACGGAGAAACTGGACACCAGTTCCAATTACCCAGGTGATGTCTCAAAAGCATATAGACAACTGGGTGCCCTCACCCCAGAACTCTTTCTGAAGCTCTACAAGACTTACATACCGCCCAACTCAGAGGTCCATAACGTCTTTGCTCCACCATAGCTGAAAAGTGGCACTAACCCACTGGAGAAAGTCCAGGGGCGAGCCACAAGAGGGGTTGTCTGGATACAACGGAAATCATACGAGGATAGACTGGGAGACCCAGGCCTAAACTCACTTAGCTGTCGAAGGTTACGAGGTGACTTGATAATGGCCTACGAAATACTGAATAACCCAAGTCACCCGAACAGAGGAATATTACCAAGTGGCCACTGTGGAGATTCTCGAGGAAACCCTAAGAGAATAGCCCAACAAAGGTCAAAAACTCATCTGCGTTCACACTTCTTCTCCCACCGAGTCTGAGGATACTGGAACTCACTACCAGCTGGGGTTGTTTCCGTCCCAACTATTGAAAGCTTCAAGAAAAGACTAGACAGTCACGCAGAGACCCATGGTCTACCCACATATAGCTGGAACACGAACTGGTGTCAAGCCACCCCAACTATTTTAACTTTGCAACCAGTTTTCTTTCTATCGTAGCCATTTAAGCCCTTTTCATCCCTTCCACCTGCTATGAGTTAGCCTCGCTTACCTAAGTTCTTCATACCTTTGAACTCCTCCTCGCCTTACTTAAGTGTAAGTTGATTACTCCATTAGCTCACTTTTCTTTTCCCCTCTTACTCACACAAACACTTTCTAGGTTTTCTCTTCACTATCTCTAACCCTCTCTAGCGACCAGTCCGAACAACTGTTTGGCAACTAGACGTCTGAAGAAGCCAACTGCACCACAGTCCAAGGCAAACAAACCAACACTTTACTTCCTGTTCCGTAAATAAGAGCTATAGGAGACGAGTGGCTAGATCTACTGCATCGGAACCCGCTGAAGACCTGGAACCGTTCCCCAAGACCTGGAAGTGAGCAAGCGGAAATCAACTGGTTTACACAGGCCCATTAAAAAGATAATGGATATATCAATGTTGGATGTCGTTGGAAATTGAAATTGGAGACTTTGACCTTCGACAGTTCCTCTCATGATCTAAATTATAACGTTACATGTGGGAATGACGGGATATTTCAACTTGCTTCCCTCAGAAATCTCAGGACTAGTCCTGGGTAAGCAAAAGTTTCTGTTGATTTTCATAGGTTTTCTAAGGGATAGTGATTGTGTTGGTGCAGCAGGGGCTTTTCTCCAAGAAAGTGTTCACTTATCAGAATTTCGTTGTCATTATGCATCAGTGGACGAGATACCTTTGTATTTCAGGGAGCTTACTTTGCTAGACATTATACACGATTATGTGAAAATCATTAATGAAGGTGAGTCGACACCGCTGGTGGCAGAATGTTGGCTTAAATTGATTTCTTACAATTGTGTGGCTTGCACATGTAGTCGAAGTGAAGCAAGAAGATTTTTTATGGGGATAGTTTTTTTTTCTTCTTGATTGAATTTTGCTCTTATTTTTCTTGAATATTGTCAGGTCAATGGTTGAGAAAAATATCGTTTTTATGTATATACCTGTCTCCACAAGTCTCTAGTTTGCCAAGATCAGGTGACCTCAGAAAACTTGTTGCCCTGTCTATCGACCAGAATAACATAATCGAGAAATACACTAAGTTTGTCCGGACATTTATTAATTCAGACCCACCCATAGTGACAGAAGACAATACCAACAGTGAGACGGCACGGCCACTCATCAAAATCTGTAAGGTTAGTGTAGGTTTACGCAATACTTCCGAGCTTCTTAGCTTTGAAAGGGATAACAAGCAGTAAAGATGGATGATGACATGGTTCAGTCAACGTTGAGTAAATTTAATGCAGCCGCCAAGTAAACGCAAAGGTTTCTATTTTTTATTTGTGTGTGGCTTCCTCTACTAATCTCATCTGGCATCTGTTTTTAGAAACGGTGCCTCAACTTGTAATTAGCTTCTACCACTGTAATCGCTGCTGCTACATATGTGAAATGAGATACGCAGATATGCTGCAATTATAATCAGTTACACTGAATCATGCACTACTGACCCATTGTCTCTTGTTTATTGTCCCTAGGGTCCTTAAGTGACTTGATAAAACTCAGTTCTGTTAGAGTGCTAATCACATGTGACTGACTAGTGGTCTCTTCTATGTAATTGCATAATCAGAAGCTATTCAGTATATAACCTATCTTTTCGTGTATGGCAATCACCCAGACCTCTTACTGTAAAGAATATTCTTTCCTGCGTAACTCGTAATTAACCGGTACATAGCCTTGCTGGCCTCTATATTACTAAAGAAGCCCTGAACTTTTCATTTTTTTGAAGCCCTACATCCCGTCTCCGGGGAACAAACCGATCAGTGGTCAGAACGTCGGTATCTTTCACAATCTAATAGGTTGAAGTGGTGAGTCATTCAAGAATTTTTCTGCTTCACGGAAGAACATATCCAACAAGTAGTCGTTCATGCATTGTCTTCTAATTATTGGGCCCAATAATCACCTGGCAATCCCAGGCAACTTTTTTTTCACAAACCATTACGATAACTGTCTTGTAGCGTAAATCTCCAATTGGTGAGTCTCCTTAATAGTTGTCAGTCGACTGCGTCTTCAGAATTGGTGCGGATACTAACGTCTAGGTTAGCTCCTAACAACTTATGCTGCCTGTTGCACAGGCGAGGTATCTGGTTGTCTACCATAGGCAAAGCGTACTGCATGATAGCTCTGTCTGTTCTATCAAACGTGGTCATTATTAATGGCTATTAGAATGCCGAAGTACTTGACCACCGTTGGCTTTGTAACATCTGCTGTCATGAAATCTATGTTAGTATTATACAGTTTATATATATAGGCAAACCATGTTATCCCATTGATGTTTTTAACCTTTAGTTACTTAGGTGTCTGAGACGTGTGACATGCATCTGATCGTTGTCTCTCAATGTGCAATTCTAGCCAGTGTAAGATACTTTTGGTAATGCGTTGAATATGACGTAGAATTAGTCCGTGAAGTCTATAACTGTCAGTCGGAGTTATGCCGAGGTCTATGTGACAAGTGAAATCGGTGGTTAGAGACTAGGTTATATGGTATAGGATCGATCATATTTAAAATCTACTCATTCCTTGTATTCATCTTTGTCATCGTGTCATATCTTTTCGTTTTCTTTGTACCATCTCTTAGTTTTAAGGCTTTCTGTGACTTTCATTATATTATTTGCATTTCATCTATCGGTTTTTTGCCTTGCATTTTAATGGGCATGTATAAGGTGTTACAACTTTAACCGTTAAACATTAATACCAGATTGTTTGTTGTCATTGACTGAATAGATCATTAATTTGAGTCTAATATTCTCGATTGTACCTAATATTACTATCTGTTTATGTTGCAGTTGTACCGCACTTGAAGAAGCTCAACCTTTCTTATCAACTGGGTAATCTAGCTGTTTCTGTGGCACAACTTTTAAAATCATTTTCGGAGAATATTTCCTCCAGTGCACGTCAGAAGTCGTCTTATCCTTCTGTGCATTCTGTTCGGATGCCACTTGGAAAATCTTATGTCCCGCCACGGATAGTGTCCGCTAGTCAAACTTTATCTATAGTCCGGCCTCCATTGGCTACCGTGAGACCCAATCCTACTATGAATGTACCAACAGCTTCACTACCCAACACAATAAGTAAGTGCTTTTCTGTCACAATAATCTCCATCATGTTCACCTATAGTTGAATGTGTAAATGTTTATACTTTATTTTTCTCTAAAACTGGCTTTCTACCATGAAAACAGGCATTGATCCCTATGCTATTCTGTCCTATTCGGGGACTCCTCAGAATCTTTTGGCCTCTTAGTAATTACTCCAATACTTGACCACTGTGTTCAGATCTGTTGGTCAGCATCTCCCGACTTTCACTGGTTCAGTGTACATATTATGTGACCACTACCTAGTTTTTTATAGGCCACACAATAAGTCACTGCTTCCCATCAAAAAAGTAGCTTCGCAATCTATGCGATCTTTGGCGTACAGAGCAGGCAACTGTTTAATTTGGGTTACATTATCTATAAGATTGTAACTTACGCAAAATCTAGATGATACAACTAGAAAAGTATAAATACAATCCAACAACTGAGCCTAGACGTATGTACTTGATAATCCGGTAGAGAGAGGAGGTTAGAAAATGTCAGCCCCCAAAATACCACTCTCTTCCCTGCCATGAATTATTTCGTTACAGGGAGCATAAGTTTTCTACTCACATGTTAAAACAATCATATCTCAACCCAACAGTGCTAAAAAGGCGTGTGTAACGGACCTTAAACACATGTCCAATGGGTTTTGTAGTGACGCAAAAGCATTTCTTTTTCTCTTTCTATTATGCTTTAGAAACAGTTTACATGGTGTGAGCAGACAATAAGTACCAACTGCTTACCCTTCCAGTAGTATTCAAAATCCAATCAAACCTAATCCACGCTCTTTTTCTTAGACTCCTCCCTTGCCTTCACTTCCTGATCATCTCTGCCTATATGCCCACCGACTGCAACTCGGATGGTATAAAAAGGGAATTCTGCCAAAAGATTTCAGTTTTGGTAAATAAACCGAAACGCTCAGATATAGTCATGATAATAGAAGATTTAAACGCTCAAGTAGAGAAAATTAACCAATCATAAAAACATCTGAAAGGTATCTACAGTATCATAGTGATCGTCTATTTCATTTTTATTCTGATAATCACCTGTGTCTGACCTTCACTAACTATGTAGGTGATTAAATCTTGACTTTAAACACCACTGTACTCATGTCCAGTATAATTAGATGGAGAGAAAGATTGATTACTGAATCTTTATTCATCGAACCAACTAACATCCAACATATGTAATTGGTATGATGCAACACACGTATACCAGAGATATGCAAAACTTTACTACCGGATAAAAGCAAAGAGTATCAGGTGACAGGACTATGAAAAGCTTTCTCCTTTTCTATGCCTTATATGAAACTTTATTTAGCACATCGATACTAACATATATCAGTAACTGGACACGTGAACTTAACGAATAAATACAACAGTGTTCCTATGTCAAGAGTGAATGAAGTTACTTGACTGTGCTAATGGTTTGTAGTACTGCTTTGTATTTCTATGATGCAAAACACTAGCCAGACTTATAGATATTGACCTGTAACTGGTTAAGCAGAATTTCAGCAGCATGTATATATGACTACGTAGTAACAAAAGATCTTTCTCTTGGCAACAGATCTACATCATCGCACTTTCCAAGAATGCCATCAGTGGTAAAGTTGAAGAAGAATAATGAAAGCAGGTGACCCTATCCCATCTCAATGGTAGTTTGAGATGTTAATGAAAAGTAGTTATGGAACCATTCCTCTTTGACTCAGTTACACGGCACAGTTTTGGTCAACAACTGATAGGCAGGTTTTGCTCTGAAAAAACATCATTACTGGTCTACCATATAATGTAAGAATGTTTAAGTATCTGATGGAAGATAAGCGGAAAGTTAATACATTCGTTACCTGTCTGTCAAAAGAGAAAGTAATTTGGAGGTAGTATTCATCACGGATTGACATCAGTTGGGGAACAACTGGAAACCTGGGAGCACTGGACAGCTGCTTTTTCCTAGTATGGGTCTCTTTAGCGGTACATACCGATGTCCTGGCAATGGATCGAACTCATGACGTTCAGGTTTCATGGCGAATGTGTTAATCATCCAGCTATTAGGTCGGAGTTCAGTGGTTCAAAGTTTCCATCTCCTGTCGATTCACGATGTAGCGTGACTATCATCCAAGGTCTTCAGTTGACATCCGCTTCCCTTCCGACTGGTTGATCCCACAGGTCACGACTTCTCATTAGAACTTCGTGATATCCATCTGCAAGCATGTCACTAATGAGCACTATTATTATTTGTCCCTTGGGTTCCTAGTGGAACGTTGGACTTCAGTAGCACATCGCGATTGCACTCTGTTCTCTGCAGTCTTTTCAACATGGCGCCACCACTGACCAGAAGCTTTCATTTATTCCTCACATGATCTCCTCCATATCACCCTTTGACGCCCAACTCGTCGTTTCCATTTTGGGTTCCACTCGATGGCCTGGCCTGATGCATGATGTCTCCAAACGGTTTTCTTAGTGTATTTCCAATGCAATCCATCTCCACTTTCTTCTGCATGTTTGTTGGGCTATAGGTTCTCCATTGGCTCGTTCCCAGGTTTCCTTGTAGATTATTCTTTCTGTCCATCTGATCTTCAGTATTGAGTGGGTTTAGGCGACAAGTGTTGATGATGTATGTGTGGAGTTTGTTGGAAATGGTGTTCGTAACGCGCGAAGTCTCTCAACATTACACAGAAGCACTGACTTGAGTGAATTAGTGTTGGGAATCTGGATGTTGTTGAGGCTTTATGTAGAGTGGAGTGGAGTGGAGTGGAGTAGATGTGCACACTGATTATTTCAGAATAATGAAGGCCTGTTATGGTGTCTTTCCGATTCTATCGTTGAGATGGTGATGTGTGCCACCTGTGGTTGAAAGGATGGTGCCTAGGTGGGTGGTAGGTGAAAGCGACAACTTGGTTTAGATTTGTGCCGTTGATGGTGATTGGTGGTTGTTGTTGATGTTGTTGGTTGGGTATATTCATCACGTGTGTCTTCTCTACATTCACTTGAAGTTCCATCTTCGTTGTGTCACCTGTTCTGCCGAGGTGTTAGTTTTCGCCTGTAGATGTTCGAGTTTTTGTGAGAAGACATTAGATATAAATGATGATTGGGGGAATCCAAATCTTGTTGTGGGGTTTTTTCATGGGTGTATCTAGTGTATTTGCATGTTGTCGCTCTTCAGAGTTTGTTGTATGATTGAGTCCTGTCGATTTGACGACAATGCTGAAGATGATGAGTGATGTTAGGTGTCAACCTTGTCTTACTCGTGTTTCCACTTCACTTTGTAGGTGTCATTGAGCTGTTCATTGTGAATCATTTGGTAGTATACAGTAATGTATTTTTGAAATGAATAAAGACGAAACAAATATCCAGTACTACCATATTTTCAATGGTTCCCTAACTGATGTCAATCCGTGATGAATAGTACCGGTAAATTAAAATCCCTATTCATCTCAAAAATTGATTACAGAAGGTGTTATTTGTTAACTCTTAATGACGATAATCAATGTATTATATTGGTGATAATAAATTTGAGATAACACCGAAGTCGGTTTTCATGATCTATTATGCATGCATATATCTTGCTCATTTGGTTATATTTCAAGATATTGTTTTGCTCAACAATCAAATGAGGCATAAGTAGTAGATCTCACTAGTGACGCGCGCAGACACACACACATCTGAATGGTAATGTATATGTTTCATATGATAGGTTGTACGACAACTTAACTACTGGAATCAGTGTCCAGTAAACTATGGTTCTTAAAGCTGTCACCTATTGGTCTAGGTACTCAATTTTCAGCTAATGTGTTATGGATTAGTCCTTGTTCACGTATGAGAGTTTGAGAAGTCAGGTAGTATCATCAAGTCTCATTTGATAGATATAGTTTATTGATTAGTGCAAAATTATTTATATTTTATCCTATACTTCTCATATTGTAACTTTAGATTCCAATTTGACTAGTGAAACTGGTAATACATGTTCTGGAGATGATAGTACAACATCAACTAACTCAAGGGTAAATCAACCAGTATTTCAAATATATAGACAACCGTTGACAACATGTAGTGAAATACCTTCTTCTGAGTCATATTCTGATCAGTCTTTGAATTCATCAAACTCTATTACAATTTGTCAACTTAACGAGACTGCACAGAAAACTGATGGTAGGCGTACAGAATGCATAGTTGAATCACAACAAAATGAGCAGACAATACATCCTTCTAATTCCTTGTCATCAGTGTCATGTACTTCACTTCAGTCAACTTGTACTTCTGCTGACCAAAGTGTTACTGATTTAAACGTTCACATAGTCGGCAGTGAGGTTAATCATTATGAAAGTACAACACAACAAGTTTACTACAACTTACAGCCGATTGATGAAGTCAACAGTTTACTGTCTGATAATAATTGTATATTCTCTGTCTTTCCACTTTTACCACCTCCATTGTCGTCATCAGATACACTGGGGATTACAGACATAGATTGTCTTGAACCTATACAGGATAATGTTGATGCTAACGGTGCTAATAGTTGTACATCTGCTAAACGTAGACGGTAAGACAGTTTCAAACAATGTGTTCTATATCAATTTTCTCAAGGATATTTTAACCATAAATTATATATATATATATATATATATATATATATATATATATATATATATGGGCGCATGTTTGAAATTCTATCTCATTGCAGTTACTTCCCCATTCTTGAAAATAATAGAATAGCTAATATAACACCTGTGCTTGAACTCCCACCACTGTCTTCTATCATAATATTGTTTATAATCTTGATAAAGATGTTAAGTATTTCCAGGTGTACCTTTCTAGACTACACTTCAGGGATTTCATTCACTCCCAGCAAGATGTTTTTTGCAGGACAAGCTAGGTGGAAGAAATACTGAATCCTGGATAATAAGCTGGGTGTACTCCGATTTCTCTCAAAATGGAAACAGTATGGTGTTCACAGAGGGAAACGCTCCAACTCATTGGTTCCTGGGGCTGGTGTTCTCCAGGGTGATATTCTTTGCTTCTATCTTTTCTCTTTCTTTCTGTATGACTTACCATCTTCAGCTAGTATTAATTTCATCAAATATCCTGGTGACCTAACAGTTTCTATACCTATCTCCTCTTCAATAGATTGTTTCCAACTGAACTATTTTTTATCCAATATTGGATGATGATCCTGTGGTTAATTCTTCAAAATGTCAGACTATAAACTTTAGTACTAGACGTGAACATAACCAAGGTAAACTGCTTAGTTCTTATGATTCCTGCTTTACTGAAAGTTGTGCACTAGAGAATGTTACAAGTGTCATTTATCTCGGTGTATGTTTTTCTTAGAACCTCTCCTAGTCCCCCTTCCCCCACATCTTAATTATTTCCCAAAGAATTTTCCTCCTAACACTATATTAGAATGCTGAGAAGATCTGGTATAACTCAGCCCCCTTCTCTTATGTCTTATCAACTCCTACTTCTTACTGATTCTCTTCTATTGTGCCCCTGTAAAGGACTATGCTATATTGTGTAGAACTTAGAAGACTATCAACAGAACTAGTGATGTAACAAACATATTAACTCATGTAGACATGTGTCAGGAGTTACTTTGTCAGATGACTAGCATCGTGTTTACTCAAAGCTCTCTGAGTGTCGGTTATCTGGGAAGACAAGGAGCAAGTATATAAGAGCTTAGGCATGTACTTCTTGCTACTAACTATAAAATCTCTACAATAGCGTATTCAACTTGTCTTCTGTAAGAGGAAGGAAGTATGAGAAATGAGCTGACTAATCTACTTGTGTTTCTGAAAGCAAACTAATTAGGGATTATATGGCTTCCTGTTATTTATGCATTACAAATCTAGTTGATAATGTGACTGTTTATCTGAGTTGACTATGAATTTGGAAGAAAGTTATTATTCTATTTACTTCGTTCTGTTTTGTATACACATACTGATTGTTTCTGTCCACTGAATGTTATATGATATGCTGAAAATTCTGTACAGTATCTTTCAGAATAAAGACATTATTGCTATTATTTATAACTGATTCAGTTGTTCAGTCATCATCATTGTAGGAGTAAAAGGTTACTGCGTAACGATCTGATTTATCACACCTTACACCAGTATGTCATGGTAGAAGGCACCAAGGTGACAGATAAAGGAATAAGAAGGAGAGTAGTAGAAATTTGTAAACAGAGAGGAAGAGTGAAGGAAGAATAAAAATAGAGGAGTGTGATACATGACTATTAGGATGAAAATAATGTATGGGTACATCTAAGTTACTGTGATCAACTTTTGGGCCTTATCATCAAGAATCTTCAACCATCGATGTCGACTGTTATATGGACACCAATCGAAAAGTCTACATTTCTCTTTTTATCTATTATTTACTTGTCCCTTGGGTTCCTAGTGGAACGTTGGACTTCAGTAGCACATCGCGATTGCACTCTGTTCTCTGCAGTCTTTTCAACATGGCGCCACCACTGACCAGAAGCTTTCATTTATTCCTCACATGATCTCCTCCATATCACCCTTTGACGTCCAACTCGTCGTTTCCATTTTGGGTTCCACTCGATGGCCTGGCCTGATGCATGATGTCTCCAAACGGTTTTCTTAGTGTATTTCCAATCCAATCCACCTCGAATTTCTTCTAATGCATATTTGCTGGGCGATGGGTTCTTGCTTGGTTGGTTGGTTGCCAGAGTTCCTTGTTGTTTATTCTTATTATTCTGAGCATCTGATCTTCATTGTCAGTATGGAGTGAGCGTAGACGGCAGGTGTTGATGATGTATGTGTGGAGTTTGTTGGAAATGGTGTTCGTAACGCGCGAAGTCTCTCAACACACACACACACACAGAAGCACTGACTTGAGTGAATTAGTGTTGGGAATCTGGATGTTGTTGAGGCTTTATGTAGAGTGGAGTGGAGTGGAGTGGAGTAGATGTGCACACTGATTATTTCAGAATAATGAAGGCCTGTTATGGTGTCTTTCCGATTCTATCGTTGAGATGGTGATGTGTGCCACCTGTGGTTGAAAGGATGGTGCCTAGGTAGGTGGTAGGTGAAAGCGACAACTTGGTTTAGATTTGTGCCGTTGATGGTGATTGGTGGTTGTTGTTGATGTTGTTGGTTGGGTATATTCATCACGTGTGTCTTCTCTACATTCACTTGAAGTTCCATCTTCGTTGTGTCACCTGTTCTGCCGAGGTGTTAGTTTTCGCCTGTAGATGTTCGAGTTTTTGTGAGAAGACATTAGATATAAATGATGATTGGGGGAATCCAAATCTTGTTGTGGGGTTTTTTCATGGGTGTATCCAGTGTATTTGCATGTTGTCGCTCTTCAGAGTTTGTTGTATGATTGAGTCCTGTCGATTTGACGACAATGCTGAAGATGATGAGTGATGTTAGGTGTCAACCTTGTCTTACTCGTGTTTCCACTTCACTTTGTAGATATCATTGAGATTTTCATTGTGAATCACTCGACATGTGGCGTCTTCATATAGCTGTTGAGTGAGTGGTACTCCATAGTGTTGATGCAGTTTCCAAATTACTTCTCGATCGACACTGTCGAAGGCATTTTCAAAATCGATAGAATTGAGTTAGAGAGTTGACTGCCATTCTATACTCTGTTCTATGATAATGCGTAGCGTTTCAGTTTTGTTCACACATGATTTGTACTTCCTGAATCCAGCGAGCCAGCCTGTTCCGGTGGTAATTTGGAGTGCAGCCCATGTTTTAGTCTCTCCAGGATGATGCAGCCTAATAGTTTGCTTAGGGTGGACAAAAATGGAACATGATTCCGCGCCAGTTCTCGCAAAGACTTAGGTCGCCAGCCCTTTTTTGCGAGTTTGACAAGGTAGCCCTTCTTCCAGTCGACAGGCAGGTACCTTTTTTTCGTTCCTTCCAGACCTTCTGCAGTAGTGGTGTGAGCATGTCCACTGCTGTTGTCTCTGCATCTGTTTTCACTGCTTCTTTCGCAATTCCATCTGGTTCTGCTGCTTTCCCGAGTTTCAGCAAGTTTATGGTGTTCAGGACTTCGGCTCTTGTCGGAGGGCTTGTGTTGACTTGTAATTCTGTGTCTGGGCTGCTGGTGGTATATCTGGACGATTTGCAGGTGGTGATCGACTCAAGAGTTTCTAGAAGTGGTCAGGCCATTGTTTCCTTTGCTCCTCCTCTTTGGTAACTAGCTTTCATTCAGTATCTTTCATTGGTTTCGTCTGCGTTGATCTCTTCCCGGGTAGTAACCTGGTTGTTTGATATGGTGTTGTCAGGTCTCTGCTATCAGCAGCCTGTTCTGCTTCACTTGCCAATGTGTTGTAGAAGTGTCTTTTGTCTTTCCGTGCACTCTTCTTCACTCTTTTGTCCAGTGTAGAGATTTATAGGTTGTATTCAGTTCCTTTTTTCGTTGTTCATCCAGGCACTTGATTATCTTCTGCTTCACCATCTTCCTCTCCCAGTTCTATCAGCTTCCATGTTTCCGTCGAGATCCATTCCTTGTCTTGTTTCCTCTTCCTTCCTAATACTGTTGTGCAGGTTTCTTTTCACATAACTTTCAAAGAGTTCCAGTGTTCTTCTATGGGCGGTATCTTGAGGGATATTGCTCAATGTCTGCCATTTTGTCATCGTGACTGAATTGAAGATGTCCCTGGTAGTTTCGTCCTTCAGTTCAGTTTCCGTTCTGGGTGTTGAACTTGAACTGTGGTCTATTAACAATTTCTTTGAAGGCTTTCAACTTGCACCCCTACAGCCCCTCAAAACAATCGTCAGAGAGTTTATTGACAACAGTTCTGTTGTCATGGTTTGATCTTGCTACCTGTAACATTTTCCATTGTAAACCTACTTCAGTAAACATTTTGCGATGAGCTAGGCGGTGAATATGGGTGCCTTACACTCATGTTCCAGCCTCATATGTTGGTGCATAACCTCATGATCTGACTTAACTCTTCTTTTTCTGAGACTCTACATATTACTTCTACGTTACTAACATGCTAGTTCTATGAATAAAATAGAATGAGAATCCTAGTCATCATAATAAAGCTATTTTTTCTTACATCTCATTGAATCATGTTCGAATCTGATAATCACAAGTATCCTAGGTATTGGAGCATGTTTTATGCATGTCTTGTCACCATCTGCCCCATTGTACAATGTTAACTAAAGTAGGTTTAGGTTGAAGCAGATTAAAGGCTATCAGACGGAAACATTCCATTTGACTGTTCATCTGAACTTTGTAAGGGAATGTCAACTTTTCGATTAGGGTACACATGACAATGGAAATTGGTAGTTGAATACTCTAGATGATATGTCTAAGAATTGATATCAGTGGCTTAGAGATGCACTTACATATTATTCTCCTCTTAATTGTCATATTGAATTTCACTGTTTACTCCATCCTTTTTTGTTCTACTTTCATGACTTTCTACTAATTTCGACTTCTTTCTTACTGACTTCTCTGTCTTTCATCTTGATCCTCCTATACTTTGATGTAATCGGTGTGAGAGTTACCCCAAACTGGACTATGATGTGAGTAATCTCAGGTCTTATGTTAATGGTGACTAACTAGCTAACATAAGTCTCTTGTATAATAGTCTAATTGAGTGATTTATAAATCATCAGGCTTCATGTATAAATAGGTTAGTTTTTGTATGTTGTGGAAGGAAATAATGAACAATTAAATCCGTTATCTTTTTTTGTGTATACAACTATTGACTACCTTTTTTTTCACATATCTTTTGACCAGAAGTCAGCCACCACGTCAGTTGTTATCATCACCTGGATGTGGAAACTCAATGTTGGGTTCAACCACTACTAATTGTGAAGAAGAATTAGATATGGAGGTGAGTTAACTTATGAGAAATTCCAGTTTTTTTTAATATGAACTACATTATTATCTATCTCATGGTAATGGTAATGATGGATAGTGACTAGCAGTGGAATACAAAATGCACATTTCGTCCTACTAGGCACTCGTCAGCCGGATATACCTGCCTACCAGTGAGTAGGGGTGTAGTGGATAGCGCTCTGGCGTTTGAAACGATCCGTCCCAAGTCCGAATCTCGAGGGGAACAACATCACTCACTGGGAGGCAGGTAAATCCAACTGAGGAGTCCCCAATGGGACGAAATGCGCATCCTGCATTCCACTGCTAGCCGCTATCCATCGTTACCATAATTAAAACACAGGTAATGTCGAGGCATCCCCACAGGAGCCCATATGCCAATAGAGATCGATCAATTCGGTCCAATCAACGACGGTATAATACAAGCAATAATACTAGTATTCATCATGGGCTGACATTAAAGACGTGGTAGCATTGGATAGCAGCTGTTTTGTCCAAGTATGGGACTCATCTATACACACTTACAATCAGGCTAGAAATCGAACTTAGAGCCTTCAGGTTTCACGGCGAACGCGTTAATCATTCAGTTATTAGGTCGGAGTTCGATGTTTCACAGTTTCCAATTTCTGTCATTTCACGATATTACCCAAGGTATTCAGATGGCATCCGCTTCCCTTTCGACCTGGTTGACGCCACAGGTCGCGGCTTCTCAATAAGACTTCGTGATATCCATCTGGAAGCATGTCACTAATCAGCACTATACAGTTAGTGTATTTTGAGGTTAATAGGGATCTTAATTTTTAAGGTAATATTCATCGTGGACTGACATCAGTTAGAAAGTCGCTGAAAATCCGGAAGCACTTTGGACAGAAGCTGTTTCGTCCTAGTGCTGGACTCTTCAGCAGTATGCGTTTCTCACCATCCAAATGCAAACTGCTGCTTCAGGATTGGTCTTCAACTGTGCCCCACTGCGGCTAACAATAGAGAGTGAACTGGTTGAGTGTGTTGACCACTTCACTTCAAATTCTGAGAAGTAGGATCAGGTCTGGTGGCTGGCTGGCTCATTGGCCGATGAACTCTCTGCAAGAGTACAAAAGGCTCGGTTGGCTTTCACAAACTTACGCCACCTATGGCAACGCCGTAATATCCGATTGTCTATTAAGGGTTGTGTGTACTGCACGCCAGTCCACTCTCTTCTACTCTATGACTGTGAAACATGGCCATTGAAGGTGGAAGACACGATATGGCTTCAAGTGTTTGACCACCGTTGCCTTCGTAGTATAGGACGTATTCCGTAATGTCACCATGTGAGTGACGTAGAAGTCCGGCTCAAGCGTAGTGTTTTAGGGAGAAGAGGTAAGTCAGTTGACGAGGTTGTGAACCTTCATCGACTGAGATGGCTGACTGCAACATGTGTTACGTATGCCTAGCCACCGTCCTCGTGACCTTTTGCATATGTAAAGTGATTTTGTTATTGGCTAACTTGTAGAGTTATCGTTGTTGAGAATAGATTTACAACCTTAGTGCACAACCTAATCTGCTCTATTCTCCTAATACTTGGCTACTTCTAGTTGATGAGGTTTAATAGTTCTCCACTTTTGTCGATTAGCATGTTTTCATTTGGCGTCATGCATATAATAACTTGATTTGAATGGTTTTTCAATTAAGGTGGTGGTCTCTCCCAATAGACTTGGTTAGTTAAGATAAATTTTCCATATGTCATCGCAGTGCCTTCATATCGAGTGGTCATTCATTGGTGCTGGTGCTACGTGGTTACCAAAACCTGAATAAGCGAAGTGGGGTTCAAACCTCTGAGTGAATTGTTGAAAATCCAACGCTTCCATCCACGTATCCAAATCAACCTAGGACCAGGCATTACTGCGTAACGGTCCTATTTGCCACACCTCATATCACTATATCAAGTAAAAAGACAGTGAGGCGCAAGATGAAGACAAGAGAATGCAGTCGATAGAAGTAGAAAGTACTAAAAGAGAGAAAGGAAGAATGAAAGTGGTGAGAGTCGGTATAGCGTCGTTAAAATGAGGATAATGTGTGTGTGTGTGTGTGTGTGTACATCTGCGCCACTGACATCGGTTCTCAGCCATGCCATCACCTACAGTCTCCAACCACTGGCTCCTCTTATCCTGCTGACCACAACCACCTTGTCTGCATCACCCCACTGGCTCGAACCAACAATCAGAGACTTCATACATTGATGCCATGTTCTAGTTTGTCGCCCCACCACCGGAGCCTTTTCCCAGCCTGAACCTAATTTAGCCAACATTATGTGACGAGGCAGACGGTGGCTAGGCATACGTAACACATGTTGCAGTCAGCCATCTCAGTCGATGAAGGTTCACAACCTCGTCAACTGACTTACCTCTTCTCCCTAAAACACTACGCTTGAGCCGGACTTCTACGTCACTCACATGGTGACATTACGGAATACGTCCTATACTACGAAGGCAACGGTGGTCAAACACTTGAAGCCATATCGTGTCTTCCACCTTCAATGGCCATGTTTCACAGTCATAGAGTAGAAGAGAGTGGACTGGCGTGCAGTACACACAACCCTTAATAGACAATCGGATATTACGGCGTTGCCATAGGTGGCGTAAGTTTGTGAAAGCCAACCGAGCCTTTTGTACTCTTGCAGAGAGTTCATCGGCCAATGAGCCAGCCAGCCACCAGACCTGATCCTACTTCTCAGAATTTGAAGTGAAGTGGTCAACATACTCAACCAGTTCACTCTCTATTGTTAGCCGCAGTGGGGCACAGTTGAAGACCAATCCTGAAGCAGCAGTTTGCATTTTGATGGTGAGAAACTCATACCAAACATTCTCAAATTGCTACTCAAAGTGTCCAGAAGACTGTGCATGGTGTCAGCGTATTCAGCTAACAGGACTATGTCATGTGCATATTCTAGGTCTAACGAAAATTCTCCACTGATTAGGTGAACGTCTGTGTTACCTGTTGACGAGAGAGGGAGAGAGAGACCTTCATAAGAATTCAACGCTTAGATTATGATTCAAGCACAGATCCACTTGAAACACATAAGCTGATCACATTCTTTATTTATTGACTTGTCTTTTCATCAGTATTGTATCTGTTCTTGTTTGCTTACTAGATTGTCTATAGGCGAAGTTGTAAGTCGATTTCTATAGGTGTTTGTATCCGAAAAATCTTAACTTATATGAAATTTCCTCATGTATAGAAGAACTAGAAGAGATGAACACATTGTTGAGTCTTTTAAAACTGAAGTAAAACGATCCATTCCAAATCTATTTCGTTTTCGAGGAAGTTGTGGAGATTCGGAAATATTTCAAGTTGTTATTCATCGTAGAGTGACATCAGTTAGAGGAATAAAGCAAACCTTAAAGCACTGGACAGCTGTTTTGTCCTAGTATGGGACTCCTCAGCAGTGCGCACCCGCAACCTCGTCACAGAACATGAAGGTCGCGGGTGCGCACTGCTGAGGAGTCCCATACTGGGACGAAACAGGTATCCAGTGCTTCCAAGTTTCCTTTGTTCGTCCAACTGATGTCAGTGTACGATGAATAACAACTTGGAATATTTCGTTTTCATTTATCCTCTAAAATAAAAACTAAATTGGATGCACATTCGTTTTTAATGGTTATGATAGTGACCAAATGTTTCCTTTTTCTCTATTTAAAATTTCTTATATCTTTGTTTTGTTTCCCCCCCCCCTCCCCCCCTTCTCTCTCTTTACTCCACACATACAACCAAATCAGCATTTCTTATCAGCGCTGTTCGCAAATGCTGAACATGTGGCTACACGAATTAATACTGAAGTTGGTGTATTGAATCGTTGTCCACATTTAGATGCCTCCAGTCAATTGAATATTAACAATACAGAAGAAATTGATATCGATTATTGTAATTCGTCCAGAAGCTCTTATGAAAGTGATAAACGTGTAGTGGATAGTAGTACTTCAGATAATGTTGTTGTCAATTTATGCAATAATGATACGAGTAAATTGATGAAATACACTTTAGATAATAATGGTCTATCTAATCAATTTACAGATGTGTACACATCATCTACAACATTGTACACTTGTAATGATTTCTATACAGAATCATCAGATAGTATACAAATGTGGAATGATTGGTTCGGTGTAAGTTATTGTGATTTTCAGTTATATATATATATAATAATAATTATTTTTCCCTTTGGTTCCTAGTGGAACATCGGGCTTCAGTAGCACATCTCCATTCCACTCTCTTCTCTGAAATTCTTTGAACCTGGCTCCGCGACAGCTCAGAAGCTCTCATTTCTTCCTCACAACATCTCCTTCATGTCACCGTCAGCTAGGATACTCAACTCCTCGTTTCCCATTTGAGTTCCACTCAAGTGCCTGTTGCGTGATGTCGTCAATCGGCTTTCTCAGTGCATCCCCAATCCATCTCCACTTTGTTCTAGTGCATATTTGTTGGGTGATAGGTTCTTGGTTGGTTTGTTGTCAGCCAGAGTTCCTTGTTGCTTATTCTTATTATTCTGACCATTTGAGCTTCAGTAACGAGCCAGAGTAGGCAGTTGTTGATGAATATCTGCAGTTTGTTGGAAATGCTTTTGGTGACTCGCCAAGTCTCTCAACCATCACATAGCACCACTGACTTGACTGGCATTGGTGTTGAAAATTCGGATGTTGTTCACGCTTTATGCTCAGTGCAATGCACTAGATCTCCACACTGGTTTCAGGTTAATGAACGCCTGTTTTGCTGTCTTTCCGATCCTGACTGCTTTGACGTCCTCGTCTGTGCCTGTGCCACCTGTAGTTGAAACGATGCTACGCTATGTAGGTAGGTGAAAGCGGCTACTTCCCTCAAGTTTCTCCCGTTGATGGTGATTAGAGCTTGTTGGTGGTGTTGGTTGGGTATCATCATCACCTTCGTCTTCTCTACGTTCACTTGAAGTCCCGTTTCCGTTGCCCTGCCTCTTCTGTTAACTTGTTGGATTTTGCCTGTAGATCTTCGAGTTTGTGCGACATTAGACATAAATCATCGGTGATGTTCTATTTATTTACGCGATGTTCATCTCACTAGCTTTTACGGTTTCAGATTGTCATCCATCTCAGGTTGGTATTCACTACGGGTTGACATCAATCGAAGAACTGGACAGCTGTTTCGTCCTAGTTTGGGACTTCTCAAGAGTACGCATCCAAGACCCCGCCATGGGTCGAACCCTTGACGTCACCATTAAGTGACTGGGTCAGAGTCCAATGATGTCCATATGTTCCTACTTCTGTCAGTTCACAATATACTGCCATTTCTATCCAGTGTCACCTTTGAGTAACTGTTCTCGTCTTCGACTTGATTGTACCCATCAGTCACGACTTCTGATTAGAACTTTGAGAAGCACTTCTCGAAGCTAGTCATCAATGAGCATTGTAGAGTAGTACTTCAATTTGGAGATTTGTGAGGATTTATTTATTAGTTCCAGATTGGTATTCATCATCTGTAAGCTTTAAATATACCTGGAGTTGTGAATTTCTCTCAATCGGAATAGGTATATTGTCTTCAGGCAGACGTTTCACAAACACACCAGTCATCATCGTCATCATCATTGACCCATGGAATATCTATTTAATAACAAAATTTGTATAGCATGTGTTGCACGTTATTGGGTTTACTTTAAAGTTTTACTTGTTGAAGTTGTCTGGTTGACTGGGTAAGATCGTGCTTGTTTATACGCGATAGACTACTGATGGAAGAGGAAAATAGGCTTTTGTCTATCATAAGACTAGTATTATGTCAATCTGGAGGTTTATGGAGACTCACTAATTGATTTCAGGTTGAAACTCATCATGGAATAACATTAGTTGAATGAATATTGGAAAGCTGGAAGAAGTGGACAGGTGTTTCGTTCTAGAATGGGATTCTTCAGCAGTATGCACTAACGACCTCAACCAAGGATCGAACTTAGGACTTTTACGTTCTATAGTCAGTACGTTATCATTGAGCCGCTAGGTTGAAATCCACCAGTTTGTTCTCATACTCGATTCGATTGGCTCCAAGCTGGAATCAATAAATAAAACCCCACAAATCTTCAAATTGAACTACTCTACAATGCTCATCCGTGACTATCTTTGAGAGGTGATTCCCCAAGTTCCAATGAGAATTCGTGGCCGGTGGTTCCAACCAACTCGAACATGAGAACAGTTACTCAACGATGACATTGGATGTTGATCACGCTATATTATGAACTGACAGAAGTAGGGAATACGGGCTGTTGGATTCCGACCTTGTGGCTGACCGCGGAACATGAGGGTCCTGGGTTCGCCCCTTGGTGGGGTGTGGTGATGAGTTTGCACTGCTGAGGTGTCTCATAGTAGGACTTAACAGCTGTCCAGTGATCGCAGGTTTCCTATGTACCTCCAACTGATATCAGTTCATGATGAATTCCAACCTGAAACTAGTGTTATGTCTCTGCCTCTTCCATTAGTCTTGCGTATATTTTCAGCATCTTGCATGCAAATTCGTCTTCACGATGAGTCATACAGTTCAGCTGTCTCAACGTTGTGCAATGGTAGAATACAACTTTTGATTGTAGACCCATTGAATACATGATGCATACACTACCTACTTTAAAATCAACATATGTCCACAAGCTTCCTAACTAAATTACAAACCAATAGATTATGTTGTACAACAGTTCAGTACATTGTACTCCATAACTGGTAGACATGCCCGGAGAAGGTGACACATAGATATTCGATTACATGAGCTTTCAGAGTGCTTCTAGTATGTGATGGGACTAGAGAATAAGCAGGCTTGATGTGTACAGTGGAGGGCCGAAGAAGTCGGTTGTCTGGATAAATAATCGCCGGTCTCGTTGGATGCTGGTTTCACTTTATTGCGAATTAAGACAAGTAGGAAAGTTTCAACCCTAATGACTGTGGGGTAACACCCCTGGTGCGAAACCTGATGGTTGTACGATCAAATAGATTAAAAGTCTGTCCAGTGTTCCGTAGATTTTCACTGACATCAATCCATGATGAATAGTATCTGGTAGACAAGGTTTGTTGTTTACTTTCCTTTATTCTCGCAATGTGAGTCATGCGTATCAAAAATTGATGAGTTCGATGAGGTTGTAAACTGTTATCGACTGATATGGATTGGACATGTGTATGCCGTGTCACCGCTTACTTTGACCTGCCATGTTGGGGAATGTTGAACTAGGCTAAGACAGGGTCAAGTTGGTGAAGTCTATGACTGTTGATCTCAGGCGTGTAGGCAGGTGTAGATTACTTGAATGGGGTCGCTGCGACAATAAGAATTAGTGGTTGAGGACTATCTATGACTTGGCTGAACATCAATTGGTCACAATGGCATAGATGTATCCACTCTTTGACGTCTTCTGTAACTTGGAAATTCATATTAACCTTCACTTTAAAAGTGTTTGTTCTATCAAACAGCTTTGTACACTTTGATATTATTCCTTTGGTATACTACCGTGATAACTTGAATTGATGCACTTGCTTATTAGGTTCTGTATTGATTTTGTCTCTATGTGTTTATCTGATGACAGCTGATATTCGCTCAAACGAAGTGACCAGTTATTTTATGTAACTAGAAACACGTGTGTGTGCGTGTATGTGTGTGTGTGTGTGTGTGTGTGTGTGTGTGTGTGTGCAAACAATCACAAAACAATTAGAGGGGAAATCCCTTGAAAGAAGTTGAAAACCCATTCAGCAACTACATCAATGTTTTTGTTTTACAGTAGGCAGTGGGCTACATCCGTTGCTTGACGTCTGGTCGCCTCATACCTAAATAGGTGGAGAGAAGTTTGATCCCGTGGCGCAATAGTAGAAATCCACTTTTTTCTAAAGTTTTTCTTCATGGTTTTGTCGAAGCAAGACGATCATAATTTTGAGATTAAACTATAAAGGTGGATAAGTTCAATGCCATCAAAAGTGACTTCTTGAATTCCATCTCGATGATGTTGAAAATGGTTATTCTCTTGGTTAGTAGACACTATACGAAGAAGTCGGGAAACCAATCACCTCTTCTAGTTTGCTACTCCTTAGCATTAGTAAGTAATCGACTATTTAACTGGTACAATCTAGAGTGTTGAGAATCTCTGTTTACTACTGGAAGCAAGCGGACGGTTGACACTTTCTAGCTGGTCTACACAATAGAAGGCTATTTCTTCTTAAGATATACCTGGTAGGGAAAAGATTTGTGCAACCATATCTGTTTGAAGCCTATCACACATAGCCTTTTGTAAACCGTTTGTTCCAACGCTGGAGAAACAACTCATACCGCTGGTACCAGAAGATCATGGGGCAGGGAAGGATTTACTATTTTCAGGGTCAACCTTTTCTAACCCCCCCATTCTCCATCCAAGGGAAATTACCTTACTGATGTCATAACCCGATCCAGCGAAGTAGTTCGACTTCACCCTCGGACATGCATCGTAGCTTAGCAATTAATATTATTATGGTAACACTATTTGTCTACTAGAATTGTAATGAAAATACATCTCTGAAGTGTAAGGTTGAAATATTCATCTCAACAGATTTGTATTTTGTTTTTCTTGCCTTCATTATCATCAAATATTATCTTATTGATACAGTTCACTCGCTTATGTTCTCCTTTATTGATTAATAATTTAGGTGAAAGGTGATTTAGACACATGTATTGATCGTCTATTGTCTGATCTTGAATCAGGAAGTGAATTGATCAGCACTTCGACTACTACTACTACTACTACTACTACTACTAGCACTACTTCGATTGATGCTACGACTACTCTTGAGACGATTACTGATGGTGGCATTACAAATCATAATACTAATGATGCAACAGTAATGACTAGTGATGATAATACGTCTCAGTCACTGATAACAATGATATCAATGTCTAATAGTAGTAATAGTAGTAGTATTACATCCAACTCTGATGTATCTCAACCACTTTTAACTGTATCATCGATATCTTCGCCAATTTGTACAACAGTCATTACTACTACATTAGCTGTGTCGACCACAACCACCACAACAGCAACAGACACACCACACTTGCTTCAGTCTAATTCACTCACGATTTCATCATCTTCAGCATCATTACAGAATGACAGCAATGCTACTACCACCACCACTACTACTACTAACATCCCAATAACAACTAGTGTATCATCAACTGTAGTCAGTGCCAGAAGTAGTCAAAGTCAACAACATTTAACTAATAAGAGAGATCGTAAGAAGTTGTTAATCACCTCATCATCTTCATTATCATCATCATTTTGTACAAGTCAATTAACTAATTATTCATCTGAACACTTTCCAAGTAAACGCCAATGTCTAATTCAATCGAATAATAATAATAATAATAATAATAATAATAATAATAATAATAATAATGCCAGCGGTAGTATAAATCATCTTCCAGCTATTCTGATTACTCCAGATGCCAAGAAGGATAATTGTCATTATTACTATTATTGTTATGTTGATAATAATAATAACAATAATAAAAGTGAATATAGTCTAGTAAACAATCAAAATAATGATGATAATGGTTTATGCTATTCTAATTCACCAAGTTGTGAATTATTCAGAGAGAATACAGGTAACTAAATGTGAGTATTTTTTTTAAATTATTGTTCCTTGTATTTTCAATTATCATATTATTAGTAGGCAGCGAGAAGAGGGGGATACACTGGACGACGGAAAAGAACCTAGAAGACTTGGATTTCGCCGATGACTTATGCCTAATGTCACACAAACTTGAAGATCTGCAGGCAAAAACTAACAAGTTGATAGAAGAGGCAGCTAAGACGGGACTTCAGGTGAATATAAAGAAGACAGAAGTGATGAAGATACCGCACCACCACCATCAACAACAACAACAAACTCCAATCACCGTCAACGGGAGAAACTTGAAGGAAGTAACCTCCTTCACTTATCTAGGAAGCACTGTTTCAACTACAGGCGGGACGGACGAGGACGTCAAAGTCAGAATCGGAAAAGCAAGACAGGCGTTGATTAGCCTGAAACCAGTGTGGAGATCTTCTGCACTCAGCATGTGGAACAAGATACGGATTTTCAACACCAACGTCAAGTCAGTGCTCTTGTATGGTTCAGAGACTTGGCGCGTCACGAAAGGGATTTCCAATAAACTACAGACATTCATCAACAACTGCTTACGCTCGCTACTGGAGATCAGATGGCCAGAAAGAATAAGCAACAAGGAACTCTGGGAACGAACCGACCAAGAACCTATCACCCAACAAATATGCAGGAAGAAGTGGAGATGGATTGGCCATGCACTGAGAAGGCCGACGGAGGACATCACGCGTCAGGCCAGGTACTCGAGTGGAATCCCCATGGGAAGCGACGAGTTGGACGTCCGAGGCGAGGGTGACATGGAGGAGGTCGTGCGAGGAGGAAATGAGAGCTTGCGGGCTGTCGTGGGAGCAGGTTCAAAAGATCTCAGGGAACAGAGGTCACTGGAGGGGTGCTACTGAAGCCCTATGTTCCACTAGGAACCCAAGGGACTAATAATAAAAAATAATAATATTATTAGTAATGGATAGTGGCTAGTAGTGGAATCCAACATGTGATACTCGTCAACTGCATGTGCCTGCCTTCCACTGAGACGCTTAAGTCATCTATAGCCGATTATTACATAATCTATCGTTGAGTTTTTGTCAATGCAAGATGGCACACATCACGTATTATTATTTATCCCTTGGGTTCCTAGTGGAATATAGGATTTCGGTAGCACATCACCATTTCACTCTATTCTCTTCAGTCTGTTGAACCTGACTCCACGACTGCTCATAAGCTTCCATTTCTTCCGAACATGATCTCTTCCATGTTACCCTTGGACACCCAACTCGTCGTTTCCCCTTTGGCTTCCACTCGAGGGACTGGCGTGTTGTGTGATGTCCCCAAACGGTCTTCTTAGTGTATGTTCAATCCAGTCCAATCCATCTCCACTTTCTCCTACTGAATATATGCTAGGCGATAGGTTCTCAGTTGGTTAGTTGTCAGACCGGAGTTCCTTGTTGCTTGTTCTTATTATTCTGGCCATCTGATTCTCAGTGTCAGTATGGAGTGAGCGTAGACGGCAGCTGTTGATGATGTATATGTGCAGTTTGTTGTAAATGCTTTTCGTAAGGCGCCAAGTCTGTGAACCATCAGATAGAAGCACTGACTGACTTGAGTGAATTAATGTTCAAAAATTCGTATGTTGTTGACGTTTTATGCTGAGTGGAGTGGAGTGGAGTTGATATCCACACTAATTTCAGGTTAATGATGGTCTGTCTTGATGTCTTCCAGATCATGGCTTTGAAATCCTCATCTGTGCGTGTGCAGCCTGTAGTTGAGACGATGGTGCGAAGGTAGGTAGGTGAAAGCGACAACTTCGTTTAGATTTCTCCCGTCGATGGTGATTGGTGCTTGTTGTTGATGTTGTTGGTTGGGTATATTCATCACCTATGTCTTCTCTACATTCACTTGAAGTCCCATCTTCGTTGTATCACCTGTTCTGCCAAGATGTTAGTTTTCGCCTGTAGATGTTCGAGTTTGTGTGACGAGACACTAGATATAAATCATGATTTGGGAAATCTAAATCTTGTTGTGGGGTGTTTTCATCGGTCCAGTCGGTGTATGCCCATCTTCTCTCTTAACACCACATATAACTGCGCCAAAATTTAGTCATGTTTAAGCGTGATCTCTTGGTTAACTAGTCTTTCCTTGACATCTACTACACACTAGAGGTTTGCAGGTCAACTTACAGTCAGCATTATATTGTGTGACATTTCAAATTGGCTAAGGAAGTCACTTAGTTAATTGAAAATCGATTTCATCCCAAGATGCATTGAAGTGGTCATCTGTTGGAATGTAGGAAGGGGGGTTGTGACGAGGTATTGCTTTTCGTTTTTCTTACTTGCATTGACTAACTAACTAACACTGATAAAATCAACGTAGGAACTTACACACAGTTGTGTGATTCAATAAGCAGTTTGATGACAATTGCTAGCGCGAATATTCAAGCTTTAGAAGATTTCAAGGAGTAAATACATCTGTGCCATTGTGGTCGATTCTCAACCATATCACCATGAATCCATAACGACTGACTCTTTTCGTCTGGAAGACTTCAGCCTGGGAGTCTACATCTCCCCCCACACGGCTCAGACCAACACTCAGTCTTAGTATGGCCACCCTGAACCCTTTTCTGACCTAATCCACTTCCCCCCTTGCAGCCAAACTTCTACATATTCAACATACAACGTAGATATTATCAATACATAGATGAGTACGTCACACTGCGTTATACATACCAATTTGTGTGTATACGGAGACATATACATTGGGAGCAGGAGTCGAACTATGAACTACTAACTTAAACAGTTCAGTAAATACAAGTCATAGGATTGATCCCTAATCCGAAACACACTCAGCTACACTGTACACATCCATGCAGCAATAGACGGTGAGGTATACATCTATTGATACTACCTGGCTGCCCATACTTTGGTAGGTGGTGCAGGCCTCGAACCCTTGACCTAGTGGCTGGTAGTCATTTCTCTAAATCACTAGACTATAGCTCCATTGATCTCCAAGAAGCTTTTAGATCCATTGTACAACAGACACTGGGACTGTATACTTAAGTTTATTGAGGCCCTTTAGCTATACAAAAGCCTAAACCTTCTTTGTGTAGTCCAAGTTTATCTTCAGCGTACCACTCTTCTTGGCTATCTGTAGATCATTTTTATCACCAAGGATAATGTGACGATATACATGTATAATTCTTCTATATTATCCTTTATTTTCCGAATTTTGCATTGTCCTAATTTATCAGATATTGTTGTCTGGTACTTACAGTCTCCCATTGCTATATTTGGTCGAATTGCTTGACTTCTGTTTGCAGATGGGTTCGTTTAAGGAGGCTTCGACACTGCCGAATGTTCATTATGTTTCCACCTTGGTGACCAGCAGCGGAATCAAGGACGCACACTTCGTCCTATTTAGGACTCATCAACAGAATGTGTCTGGAGTATGAGAGCTGCCTGTTTGGAAATGGATATCAGTTGTTGTTCTTTGATACTTGAAGTCTCCCATTGATGTATATTCAGTGAGAATAGAGTGAAATTCGCATCGTGGATTCCACTGTTCAGTACCAAGAAGACTTCGATTACAATGTGATTAAACGGTTCAAATAATCTTGCTCAACTACATCACATTTCTCAGATATATGTCCATCTTCTCATTGTATGATGCCAAGTTATCAAGGGGGCATAAACTGTTCCAAATAAGGATTTAGGGTGAAGATTATTATCATAAAAGAATCAATTTAAGAAGGGGAAAAATGAATACAATCAACCGTCCCGTTTGTCATATACAAGCCAATCAAATCTAGCCAAGTGTAGGATTAATGGTGTGCCAGTTGACTACTATTTTTTATAGTAATACTTGTAATTTCTCCACCTCTGTTGGCTGATGCCTCGATGTACTGGATGTACTTGAATTCCAGTGAGTGGTGTTGTTCCCACTCACAGACTCGAACCCAGTACCTTTTGCTTCAAACGTCAAACGCCTCACTAAACCACTGGGGCACAATAGTCACCTCTTGTGAAACGGGTGTCAGTTGTTATGATGATACTTATCACAGGGCTGAATTTAAAGCGAAGGGCACTGGGTTCGAGTGTGTCTGTGGAAAACAATATCACTACACAATGGGTTGCGCATCTTGTATACCTCTGCTAGTCAACAAGATCAATATGACTACTATTTTCTTTGAGAAAAAAGGACTACACTTATGGATGGTAGCGTTTTTATCGAACGATGCGAAAAATACCACTAGGGAAGTATCAATTTATGCGTTTTTTCTTGGATTACTCAAATTTATCTTTTTGGTATTCTGTTTTTTTTATATTTATTTATCCATAGGGAAAAAATTTTTACCTACTACTACTACTACTAGTACTACTACTACTATACCATTTCAGGAGTATTATCAACTCCAAAATTCTGATCAATGCCATCATCGATCGTTGAATAATAATAATAATAATAATAATAATAATAATAATAATAATCCACCTTCTATATGTTATTATTCTATGCCACAAAATTCACATACTCAAACTATTCTCAGTAATACTACAAATATGAAAACATTTCTGTTAAGTGATCACTTACCAATTATTGATCTATGCCAATTTTCAGGGGATTCAATCACTATCACTCCTCATATACCTAATAACAATATGGTAACAACAGTAGGTGGAATTTGTACAACAAAAATCGATTCAATGGTTAATACTGCTTATTTTGATGTAACAGGTTCATTGTTAAATTTTATTCCTATCAGTAGTAGTTGTACAACTAATTTTCCGATTGTTTCAAGCACTTCTATCAATGTCACTGCTGTTGCTGCTGCTGCTGCTGCTGTCAGTACTACTTCTGGTACTACTGATAGTATTGGTACCATAGCTAATTCAAATATTCTTCTTAATGTTAATGAAGATAGGGTTCATGAAGAGAAGTCTATTACAACCATTAGTCGACAGTATCCAAATTCTTCTGCAGAAATGATGATGCTGTTGATTGATTCAAAAGAGAACCTACCACCATCATCTGCTACCGTTATTCAAGTAAGCTAATGTTATTCTAACTTTTCTTTTTAATCGTCATCCATCATATGTGTGTGTGTGTGTGTACATGTCTACACACAAAATAACACTCTATACACTCGCTAGTACTTCAAGTATGTCTACCACATGAACAAGAAGATTTGTAATAATGGTGTGATTGAACTGAAAAGAAAATTATAGACGAGTTGAATGCTAAGCCATACCACCATGTTAGTAACGTAGGAATCAGGAGTAGAGTCTTATGAGATAGGTAGATAGAAGCAACGTGAACACCTTGGATACAAGTGTATCGGTTCAACTTGCCACATTTCACAATAGTCTACAAAGATCAGATGGATAGAAACGGAGTGATATTAAAGTGGTAAAGGTTGTGTGAGAGGATAAACAATCTGAAGATGATGGTTAGATGTCAGAGTAAATACATCTCAGTCACAGATTCCTATCGTCTCAAGGATCCCAGCCAACGACTTCATTGATTGTTGCTAGGTGTTGGTCTAGCCACCCTGAACCCTCTTCCAACATAATCCAACTTCCTCTAGTATGGCATATCAAGAGAAGCGGTAATTCGGTATGCACAACACATGTTCAAGCCATCTTAGTCGATGACAGTGCATTACCTGATTGATCGGTTTGCCTACTGCCGTTCGCCTGATGTCCATCAAATGCGAGCTTTTCTACAAACCTATAAACCTACATTGACTCAGGAGGCTGGGACGTATATGTGTGTGTTTTGTTCACCCTTAGTCACCATCTACCCTATCGCACATTATTCACTGAAGAAGGTTTAGGCTGGAAAGAGAAAGCATTACAACAATCTATGAAGCCTTTGACTATTCGGTAGGTGTATGTATAAGAATGTAGACTACCCGGAGTTGGTTTTCTTGTAACAACTGAGTTGGTTGAAGATGTCGTAGAGAAGTGATCCATCTACGAAACGTCTTCATTGTTTTATCCCTCCTTTCTTATTTCTCTAGGTTTTATCTGATACCTTCACGTTTATTGTTGGACCATTATACAGTTACATGAAGTCCAATGATGTGATTGGTTTTAAACATTATCGAATTACGTGACTAGTGTAAGGCTTTCTATGCCTCATTCCTTATAAGTATGATCTGTTATCAGGGAATATGATCTAGGGAATATCGTTTCTTAGTGAATATATGTAGTTAATGTCTTACTGAAGTCAACTAGCACATCATAAATAATTCAATGTAAATATTATTGTAACATGGTATATATCAATAGTAAATTAAGGATTTATTTCAATTACTATGAAACCACTGGTGACTATAAGAGTTTCATCTTTTTAAGGAACCTATGAAGCGTAGGTTGATTTCAGGTTGATTTCATAATGGATAGATATATTAGCTAGCTAGTGAAGCCTGAAAGTCGTCGGGGTTATGTACTTCTGAAGAGTTTCAAACAGAAATGAAACTACTGTCCAACAATTCCCAATTTTTAATGGTTCCCAACTTCAAACTTATCAGTATTTACACGAGATCTTAGCTCGGAACCACCGTACAAGCAATCTTGAGGTTAGGTGTAGAAGGTAGTAAATCTTCACCAACTGAAATGCCGAACCACTATCACCCAACCTCAACTTAGGATTTGGTTAGAAAAAGGATAATGACAGTCAGATCATTTTAACTGAGATGGCTTGGACATGTACTCCGCATGTCGAGCCACCGCGTACCTTGACATGCCACGCCAAAGAAACTTGGATTGGGTTGGACAGAAGGTTCACGATGACCAGACCAAAGCGTGGTAGACGTCAATCAAATCCCTGATCTTTTCTATCAGCCATATGGAGAGATGTAGACTATCTAACTGGTTTGCGTCCTTGAAACGATAGGGATGATTGGTTGACGATTCTTGGTGAAATGGTTGTTCTTTTTATACTGATGTGAAGTATGGTCAATTAGAGTGATACACTTTTGTTAGAAGTTTTGCATTGATTACATCTGCCTGTTTTGCTGTAGTAAACAAACGGTAGAAATTTCCATTTAAAGTCGATTTACCTATTCATTGTTATAAAGGTGTCCGACACACATTTATTGCATAATCCTCTGGATGAATAATATCGATTAGATTACTGTGAAATAGATGGTGACAATAGGAATTTCATCTTAAGGAAATTATGAAGGGTAGATTGATTTCAGAACAGCTTTCATAATGGATAGATATCAGGTGAATGGTATAATTATGCTGATGTAGTAGAGCCTGACGGTCGTAAACTGAATCCGTCATTGGAGATCATGGGAATGTGTACATTATTGGAAGGTTTTAAGCAGAAATGAAACTACTGTTCAACACTTTCTGGGTTTTTTTCTTCACGATTATGTAATATCGGATAAACCTATGATACAGCATGAGAATAAACAGGGGATCATGAAAATAGGATTGCGATTACGTAATACAGGTTAAATGTGTGATAGAGTAGAAAGAATGAATAAGGTATACATGGTTTGATCACAGGTAGAATAATGGCTTCCAGTATCTGCGCATCATTGCTTCTGTTATTAATCCGGATATCGATGATCCCATTGGAGTTCCTTTCATCTGTTTGTATATCTTGTAGTTGAATTGAGAGTATGTTGTCATACAAAGGTCGATGATGTCGTCTAGCAAGACGATGAAAGCTTCTTCACCATTAAACAACCCAGTCAGCTCAGAGGACACAATACAACCAAGACCTGATCTACGAATATTCTCCATCATTTCAACAAATAATATTATACATATATTTTTATAATAAATCCAATTAGAATATTTTAAACAGTTAGTCCCTTTCATGAAATTCGATAGCGTAATTACAAGACGAAGTTGATTTGAGCAATGTGATATATTTGCGCAACACATTTCGAACAATCTGATCACACACACACACACACACTTACTTGTCAAGTCAATATATGTTAAACCGAGGACTGGGAGGGGGGCACAAATACAACAATTAATACAATAGGGGATTAAAATTAAGAAAGATGAGAACAAACAGGAAGAGTGATCTGGTTGATCCTATTCTTGGTAAAGAAACAAAGTTCACCAACGGGGTAGGTGTAGTGTAAGAACAAATTGTTTCTATATACACATAAAGGTGGTTTCAATTTGTGTATGTCTATGGCTTCCACAAACCTCAGTGTACGTCCCTAACTGACTGTTTCTATATAAAACTTTGAAAGGTGTTTGAACATTAACTTTGTGACCTGTTTCTATGATATGCTTAGTTATAGATGAAGAGGGTCATCTGCCACTTGCGTTTATCATGGTTTCACACTCCATTTGTCTTTGAAGCTATTCAGGTACATGTTCTCGTACTCTCAAGTGCATGACTCGACTACTTCTCCCTATGTGTGTATGGATCGATGGATGAAGATATCGAATTACTGACGTTAAAATGCTTATGGGAAACTGTATCCGTTGAAATCTATAAATCATTGTGTTTAGAATGGGAAAATACACAAGGGATTATGAAATTAAGTGTAATTACGTAATACAGGATGGATGTATGGCAAAGTGAGAAAATGAAGATAAAATTGTGATTATGTAATATCGGATAAACCTATGATACAGGATGAGAATAAACAAGGGATCATGAAAATAGGATTGCGATTACGTAATACAGGTTAAATGTGTGATTGAGTAGAAAAAATGAATAAGGTATACATGTGTAGTTAGTTACGTGATACAGAATGAATCTGTGGCCGACAGGGTTTTATGATGGCCATGGCAAAGATAAAGGTTGAACGAAGTACCTTTTGTTGTACACATAACGCTGGTTTGAACTTCTGGAGGGCTAGTGCTTTTACTATAGAGAAATGCCTTGATTTTACTCGCTTCGAGAATTTTGAATGAGTTCACAAGGTGTTCTGTTATCCAACTGAAAAGAAATGTATTTCCGTTCTCTATTTGCAAACCAGGCTGCGTAGTCTTCACAATCTGTAATCATTTGAAAATTTGAAGCGTCTATGTAACTGGAAATACATTGATGAATAGTAGTATTGAGTGAAGATGTAGCTACACCACCTACATTTTTCTTACATTGATCTTGACGGAAAAATTTGAAACTATTCAAAGTAACCAATTTATCATCATAAAATGCATGTAACTAAGTTTCTTACAGTGTAATTACTCCAGTGGTTCAGTGGATGCTGAAGGATTTAAGAGATTGTTAGTAATCCAGTATTCTGTGCAATGATGTGCAATTCATGTTTATAATTTCAGTTACGTTGCCATCCTTATCTTATTTAATAAGAGCATTTCAGGAGGCCGCAAACATTTTTAAAAACATGAATAAAACGAAAAAATCTGTTGAAAATGTAATGCAATTTATCAGATAGAATATTGAAACAGGCCGCATATATCATTATTTATACAAGATCTTAGCTCGGATACGAGAAATCAGTTTGATATTCATAAGGTTATGCTTACGAAATATCCAACTATCTAGCAAAGGACAAGTCTACTGGCGTGCAACTGAGACTCTACAGGGTTTTTACCATTACTGCAATCGTAGCACTGTTCTCATGTACTGAAATCACCGTATGTTAACGTTAAATGGAGATGGTGGTAAATCGCCTACCTAATTTTGTTGGAAGAAGGTTAATGAAATTGGCCAGAGTTCTATGTTGCTTATTCTTTCTGGCCATCTGAGCTTCAGTAACGAGTCAGAGTAGGGGGCAGTTGTTGTTGGAAATCCCTTCCGTAACGCGTCAAGTCTCTGAGCCATATACAGGCACTGACTTGACTGAATTGGTGTTGAAAATCCGGATGTTGTTCAGGCTTTGCGCTGAGTGCAGAAGATCTCCACACTGATTTCAGGCTAATGAGCGCCTGTCTTGCTGTCTTCCCGATTCTGGCTGGCTTTGACGTCGTCGTCTGTGCGGTCGCCTGTAGTTGAAACGATGCTGCCTAGGAGGGTGGGTGAAGGAGGTTACTTCCTTTAAGTTACTGCTGTTGATGGTGATTGGAGCTTGTTGTTGTTGTCCGTTGGGTATCTTCATCACCTCTGTCTTCTTTACGTTCACTTAAAGTCCCGTCTTCGCTGCCCTGCCTCTTCTATCAACTTGTTAGTTTTCGCCTATAGATCTTCAAGTTTGTATGACATTAGACATAAATCATCATGATTGGCGAAATCCAAATCTGCTAGTTTCTTCTCCGCGGTCCAGGGTATCCCCCTTCTTTTTACTTCTCACTGTTTTCTGCATGATCCGCGATGAATACTACCTCAAAACTAAAACTCCCCATTCATATATATCTATATATATTCTTTACTGAAAGTGAATGTTAATAAGAATGATATTTTCTGTGAAACCTAAATATCTAGAAATTAATTTTGCTTTTTTTTTCTTTCCATCTCCGCTTTTGACTGTTGTTGTTTTAATGAATAGAGTGGCACACAAAGAAAGGTGAGCGTTTATGTTAACTTTGTATCAATTGTTGTATTATAATATCCTTATGAAATTTGTTTAATTTTATGTTGGTGTTGTTGTAGAAAATTTGATTCCTATTTGATTAAATGGTGAATTCATGAATCGGCTAGCCAGTTACTGAGTCATGTATACGTGTATATGGATTGTCATTTCAGTCGGTTACGTGATTAAAGCGATTCCATATTTCCTTTTAGTAATATATATACTGTGTTAATTTAGGATTTGCGCGACTTAAAGTTGATATTGTTTGATTGTCATATACAGTCACTTATATCTTGTCTAGACCCATTATAGAGTTGATGGGAATAGACTCTTATCTCTTTTTTTTCCTATTGGCATCAGTTAGTCAGTGATTTGTATTACCATAACCAAATTCTCTTCAATCATACCAATTTTTTCCAGCTTCAACTTTGATTTAAACTGAATTTACAGGGTTTCTAGGGGATTTAAAGATTTTTCAAGTTAGTATGCGTCATTGGATAACCAATTACTTCCTCCTAGAATCGGATTCCTGAGCAGTACGTACCCACGATGAATTCCAACTTGAAAAATCACTGAATCCCCAGAAATTTCTAGATTCATTTGAACCAGTGCCCATTGGTGACTCGCTTCTAGAGGTGATTCGTAAATTTCCTGTG